TGTGAACCGTCAGGGAAAGCTATCAAGTTTCCTCCCAAGCAGTTGGAAAAGGAATTGGCTTTTGGCATCTGAGAGAAGGAACAGCCTCGTCATCTTTTGTTATGCGAGATAAGAAAAGAAACAACCTCACGCACATAAACCGACAATTGGATGGCTTGCTGGTTGTTTTGTCAGTCTCCATCGTCGCTGTGAAACTTTCACATTACCAGACAAAGGGAACTGACTCCTGTTTATGAAAACATCTACGGAAGTGCAACTGTGCAGTTGAATATTCCTGGGAAATGATTTCAAGCGCCCTACCTGCAGAACTAATATTCGTCCTTGTCAATATATTTCCGACTGATAAAGCGTACGTATGATGGCAATAGTTGAGTATATTTTAGTTCAGTATAGTTCAAGCGCCATAGGCAATTTATCTAATAATCCTACAGCGTTCTGTCTCAGGATCAACACATCCCATCTTTCACATGTGTGCCCATTGCGAGTATGCATAGCCGAATATAGTATCTTATTACGGATAACAACAGACTGTTTCTCACTCTTGTCATAATATACTGCGGTATGTAATCATATATTCATTTTATAGGTGAACGTCTTCAAGGCATTAACGCGTCCGTCTTTTTCCGGCCTCTCCAGTTTGTAACGCGTGCGCCGTACATAAGTAAACTCCAACGTAACAGTCGAAACCTAGGACTTTTGCCATTTTTCCACGGGATGCGTTCGGCTGAGATGGATCGCATGTGAAGTCTTGCACTTGGAAGATTTTTGCGCTGCCATCTACCTGACCAACGCCGTCCGCACCAATGTTGCTCATATGTCCGACCGACCTGAATTGCTGTGTAAAAACGTGATGATTGACAGCGTCATAATGCTGGCATCTTTTTCAGCATATTACCTCACATAAACCGGGTAATACTTTCATCTGCAACTGATACTAACATTATGTTTCACGGTTCTACCTGCCCTTCCCTTTTGAGAATGGTTGAGCGACCCCGTCAGTATGTATGCATGAAAACCACGCTCATACTCGCCAGTGTCGGCCTCCTGCCCTTTGACTCATCAGTGTGTCAGCGGTTCGTGAGTGCCAAGCCGACTGTTTATAGCATTGTCGCAGCGGATTCCTACCTACTCATCATAGACACGGCCTAGCTTTCAGCCGTCCTGACGTAAAAATGAACTAATTAGCATGTTTTCAATTTAAATTAGGTAAGCACATTCAGTCTTATTGTTTTCCTGTCCAAATAGCGACACATACATGATGCATTACATCAGTACATACCCACGGATGAAGCATGAAATGTTTTAGGTCAGTTTCAATTGTGAGCATGCTTTGGAGCAATCCATTTATTACCTAAGAAAACGCGCATGCACAACTTTAACAACGTTTTCGGCAAAATCTTCACAATGCCATCGGCCAGTGCAGGAAATGGAAACGTAAGTGACAATTTCATTTTTGGAAAAAAGACGATGTTTACTGGACTTATTATAATGAGTTGATGTGTGATCGATCAGACGGATAACATGATTCGGAAGCGCTATGGCAATGACACAGGTGAGAACAAAGGCGACAAACAATGCCCTAAGTGTGCGCTGTCACCGTGGCGCAGATGGCAGGAGTAACCGCATTGTTGTACGGCCCGTGACGCTTCAGTCTTTCAAGGTATTCGCTTAGTCTTGATCTCATTTATTCGTTAAAGCTTGAAGATGGCTTATTGCTTCTCTTGGCATTTAATGATTAAAGAATAAGGTTTGAACAGTCAGGTAGCAGATAGTAATAAATTATCACGATTCAGGCTGAATCTCGAAACCTTTAAATCGACTGACGGGCCGCTTACAATCTTCTAGATATTTTCGTCGTATTAAGAGAACGAATTTAGACATAATAATGACACTTGAGGGCATTGGACGTGTCCGCGGAAATTTTCCATTTTATTTCATCTGAGTTGTAGTAGTTCTTCAGCAATCTCGACTGCCATATTCTAGGGACGGTAGTACAGGTAGGCGTATATGTTACTGACGAAATAATAGCAATATTTTTGTTTTAATTGCAATGGAGCACGTACCGCTCCCAAAAAGGCCTTCGAGGGCACCGCCTATCACCTTTGTATATACTGAACCACTGTGAACTATTTCTTTGGACGGGGGATTTACTCCTCTTAGTTCTTCTTAGGAGTCATCTCGAGGAGACCTTATATGGTTGTCTTTTCAGAGGTATATAACTGTCGACCGTCTACAGTGACGAAACGCACACATTTGCGCAAAGTAACAAGGGTAGTGCTGCAAGTTGGAAACTGTTATATGACGATGTCTCTAACGTATTCCCCTATGTAGCAAAACCCAGGCTCATTTTTCACCGATATTCCTGTTGCAATGCGGATAAGAGTTTCTCAAAAACGCAGTTTGTTCTTCATCTAAACCAAGGAGTTTGCTGGGATCCACATAACAGCCCTTACCTAAGGGATATTTTCAGTCCCATTGCACGATTAAATACTCTGCATGCCTAACAAAGCTTGGTTTGAATTTGTGTTCGTGGATAGACACTGCACTGTGAACAGCTGCCTGATATAAATTTTCTCGTCATCTTGCCACAGTCTGACGTTCGCGTATTAGGATGAAATCAGATTCTCCGACTTTGGGAACAACAGGTTGCATAACAACTGCCGCGTGTGGAAACGTCTAACGAATTTCTTTTCTATCCTACACTCAGAGAGCTCAAGCCTAGTGCCAAAATTAGTTGTGTACCGCGTGTACCGACAGTAAGCTGTGGCTGCCGTTTTTCGATAACATCCGTATTATAAAGAATTACCAGGCCGGCCGCGGTATTGGTAATGCGTTTTCCTTTCTGAAGGCATACTCATATTGTCACGTAAACTGCGGGAACTGTTGGTTTATTGTGTCCGATTTGGTAGATTTCACGCGTTGCAGTAGGATAGACGGATAAATGGGACCACATATCACTTAGCTGATGGCTCCCGGTGAGATCTCATAGCTCAGGTAGCTAGATCGGTGGCTGAACATAAGCCTTTCCCTTGATGCCGTGGGTTCGAATTCCGCTGTAACAAACAAGATTTCAATATATGTGCCATAATTGGCCATTTTATGTCTGCCAAACAACTGAAATTCCAGAAATTCATTCGATTCGTCATGGCCTATCTGCCAGAATATAAGGCGTGCGGATTAGGAGCTAAAACAAAGTCAGAATTTACGCCTCCTCGCATTTAATTTGGAAGAACCCACCACTGAAAACCAGAAAGGTTTGGATGTCCTCATTTTCAAAAATGTACCTTTAGATCGGACTTAAAGGTTTTAGCATAACGATCTGTGTAAACCTTGGAAAGTTGATTAAATCCGAATGCGGTGAACAAAGTTTTCCGTAATTATTTCGCGACTATCATTCCCCTCTTCCCTTTATGTTACATTATGAATTCTCCTTACTTAAACTACAAGCTTTGCAATTTAACTATTTTCCTTTATATCTGTACCCTCTAAATGGAGTTTTCAGGGCTTCTCTCGTTTACTCCAAATATACTGACTGATACTGACTGAAATGCCCACTGCATTAGGACTATTCTGTGGAAGACGTTTGATAGAGTGTTTTTTTTATAAAAAAACAATGTGTGCAAAATGTCTAGTATGTATTTATGTGCTGATATGGCTGTTTGCAAATAACACACTACTTACAAAAGGGAAATTGATCAAAAACACAAATTCGACATCACAGTCTCGCTGACGTTCTTGTCATTGCAATTCGCAGCCACAAGTCCAAGGGTACTTCTTACACCATGAACACCCAGACGTTAAACAGTATGGCACACACTACAGACAGAAGGAAAAATACAAGCTGAAATTTGATTTCTAAAACTTTCACATTTAAATAATCTTAGCTGCATTGTTAAAAAGGGCACATTGTTAAGGTTTTTAATGGCCCAATGGGTTTTGGCATAGGACTCTGTCACTGCAGTTGCAATTTTCCTGCCATATTTCGGCGAATCCATCCAAGACCAATACAAGGGCGATTGTGTTCTCGACACTTATCCACATACTCGACAAATACTTTCTTAGTTACCTGCACATTTGTCTAGAAGCAGAAAACTGAAAGCACCGCTCCTCCACGCTGTGAGGAAGTGGGCAAATAAGGGAACTTTCAGAGTTTTAAGAACGAGAAAGCTCATTTTCTTCTGGGTAGTATTGTCGCTATGCGAGAATTTTCGAATTAAAAAGCGACATTAATTTGCAACTTCAGCTCCGACGCACCTACTAATTTCCTTGCCCCCGAAGTGGCTTTTGGTTGCGGCATTTGCGTAGTGATGACTGGTCGGGGGTTACTTTTAGAAAAACCTGCAGTAAGAAAAAATGTTTTACAATTAAACTCAGCAACTACGTCTGCATGCGGAATTTCAAAAACGCATTAACATTGCACAGACATTACACCAGCGACGTGAGTGACCAACATCTCCAATCAATAATGTAGGTCAGCGCCCTAGTCTTCTGCTTGTCTGCGTAACAGTAGTAGAAACTCTTTGTTGCATTTCTGTTCCGTACATCATATCCGACTGTTAAACGACCATCATCTATAAAGTAGCCTAAATGATATTCAAAGAGGAAAATGTTAGATATATGTTTTAACTCCGGTATCATATCAGGGAAGACGAGAAGAATTTAAGATTCAATAATTCCGAAGTTTGTCTACAGTTTTTTGGTATGTAGTCACTGGATGACTTTTAATAGATAAAGAATCACCAGGCGAATGTATCTGACGACTAACCTGCATATTCAATCACACAATAGCTGTCTCATTTAGCTTTTTCAACGTGGTGGGTCAGATGTCGATAAAAAAACCTTAGGATTGTGAAGGCTCGTGAATCTGCTTCAACTTTCCGTTTACTAATTCATTATCTAAGGGAGTGTCTACATTAGTTCTGAGCAAGTCTTTTGTGGAACACTCAGTACATCCGGGGCTTCCCTCTTCTGTAAGTAACACTTAACGGCCAGTTACTTAAGAGCCCTGACACGCGTGTTTTGTCAATCCCGTGCTGCTACCTTATGCAACTGCGGCTCATCAGTCGGTCTCCTAGCTTCCCCGTGTGTATTCTGCTATATGAACTCCAGTTTAAACTTCAATTGTTTAATTTCCGTGGAAGGTAATGCGCGAAGTCGGAGCTAGTCTCTCATAATAGGCCTTTTCAGGAACGGTCCGAAATCGGAAACTGGAGTTCATATTTCCAGAAAACGCACGGAGAACGCTGGGGGATCCACAGATGAGTCGAGCCACTCGTAACTCCGTCAGGCAACAGCACAATGTCGGCAAAACACGCGTTTCTAGGTTTTTAACTAATACTTACGTTTTTATTACGGTAAAATGATTACATAATAATATACCGCTGACTGACTGTTAGCGATTTATGAATATTACACGGTTATTTAGCAGAAGCTGATGGATGTCAGCTCAAATATACATAACAGATTTCGGACCGCGCCGAAAAGGTCTGTTCTAAGAGATTTACTACAAGTTCGCGCACTATTTTCCTTGGAAATTAAATATGGACAAATTTGTGTTAGAAATTATTTTAGAGATAGCTTTTGATATAAACGCCGCATGAAGGATAAAGAGCAGTCAATGGGAAGGCCACCTACCACATCTGCCATCCGATGGCCAGCTAACGGGTCGCAATCCAGAGCAAATATTCTTCTTGGACGTGTAGCAACTAATCTTTAAATACAAAAAAATATTAGGCGAATATTTCCTACAGCATTCTGATGAGAAAGGCTAGAAATAATTTATGCATATCTCACATCCTGTAGGTCCGATTCGTTGCCATTGAACGCCCATAGCAGTCTAACAGTGATGTTATCTGTGCAGATGTCTAATGCCGTGCCCTCATTCACATAAAAGCCAGCTAAAATTAATTGTTTTAAGAAAAAGCTTACTGACTGCCTTCTGTACCGGCAGAGCTTGAACAGTTTGCAAGAAAGTAGCACTATGTTTAACTAGGACATGGTTTAACGTACGAATGCTTTCATCCTGCGGCTTGTGAATTGTTATGGGATATTCGCTGTTCAGCATAACGTAGGAGAGTTTCTCGGCATTCGAAAAAGTTAGGGCAGTTGCATCATAGTCTTCGTCTTAATCAGAAGCATGAAACAACAACTTCATTCGTGGCAGTGCAGGGAATTGTGAAGTTTGTAAGTCAAGAATGCGAGTAAGATAAAAATATTCAAAAGAGCAAGTAGATTTTGGCATTTTATGCTTCGGTGTGAATGCAGATTAACTAGGAAATAGACTAAGGGCATTATCATGCAAATAATGGCAATTATGAAATTTAAAGGTCTTGTATGGTCATACGTTTTGTGTAGGGGCAGCGAAAGTAACCTTCCTTGTACGAACACCATCCTCTTGCCCAAATATATGTCCAGAATTTTCCAATTCCCAGATATCCACTCTTTAACACACAAAAACAACCTTAATTAAATTCTTATGCGAATTATTAGGCAGTGGCCCATCAAAATTGCGTCTTCAAAGATATGTTGCCATAAAATATGAAACAAAAATAGCATTTAATATGATTAACGTACCCAATAACTGGTCTCAATCGGAACTTCCAGTGTAATGCTCCCGGTAGCATTCTTCGGAATCAGACGTTTACTCCAATCACATAATTTGTTTCCACATCTGGAAAACAACGCTTCTGACATAAAACCCTTTTCGTAAATCCCATATTAACTCATGTTTGGAAAGAATTGGAGGTGAATATCCCAGTATCTACATCACGTCTAACAATAATTACAATTGACTACATTTCCGAGCTACCGTGATCACAAGTCACTAAGGACAATACCAGAATCATTTTATCATGCTCAGAATTTTGTCGTTTTTTAAGAAAACATTTATATTCGGACAATGAATCCGGGCATTTAATTTGCATCTTGACTACAATTTAAAAGCACTTGCTTGTAGCATTATTTTATTTTCTAATTAAATTGCTTGCCGCATTAAGGCCGATTTGTGTTGCTCACCGGATGCTGGCAGCTAGAACATTCTGCTCATGGAAAGACTGACCGAACTTTCATACTCGGCGGGTTTCAACCGATAAAAATTATCAACAATTGATATTTTATTCCAGAACTATTTATGACAACTCATGTTCGGTGAAAGGGTATGTAGAGAGACAACAGACATTGTGGAAAACCCTACTTCTACCGCTTTTCTTCCTAATCTGAGTGGTTCTACGTATCGCAATTGGCCTACTTCCACTACGTAAATTGCTCATGCTTTCTAAAGGGCTATTTCCACAGAAACTGGCATTAAAATAAAAAGCAGATTTTGACTGCTTGCTGGATACTAGGTTCAATCAAAAAGAAAACAGATGGCTGTCATCATCATTGGAAAACTTTCTATGAAGACGTACCCCAAGTGGAAGAGACAAATTATTACCAAACTGAGGAGGACGACGTTTGTCGGCATTTTCTCAGAGAGTGATGTATTTCAAACAACATGCACTTTATTATAAGATGGAACGTATTTCTGCCATTGAGGTTGCAATTTCATTGGTTTACGACCAAACCCGGCGTAAAGTATTTATTTTGTTCATCAAGGGACTACGTTAGAGGTTAAAACAGTTTTACTGCGGTGTCAAAAATCGATGACTCTTCTCCGCATTTTGCGGTGTAAAAATAACAGACAAACTTGCAGTGATTAGCGTTGAAAGCGCACATGGTTACCGTAGGCCTCACTCACTATTTATAGACAGTTTTTTCATTTAAAATGGATCTTGTTAAAGGCATAGTCAAACGGGACCGAATTACGATGGGTACTTATTCTCAATTTTATCCCATTCGTCCTGTGAAATTTAAAGTTTTGCCGGAAATCGCGGTAAAGTAAAAAGAGTTCCAAAATTGCGATAATAAAGAAGCGGGCAAGACTAAGAAATGTTTGAATTTGAAATCTGTTGTGGGAACTTCCTCCAAAAATGTGACCGATGTCAAATAAAAGATCAAATGTTCTAACAAGGACATCGTTCTCGGAAATCCAACGTCTGCTCATAAATCGGCAAGCGCGTACTTGAAATTAAAGCTTTTCAAAAAACTCGAACAATTCCTTTTGTCTACACGTTGTCAGGTAGAATTCTGAAATGTTTGGCTTTTTCACACGCAGTCCGGGACTCATCTTAAAAACGCAAACTTGGATGCAGAATCGCTCATATTCCACTTTTAATGAAACACCTACCTAAAGGATACAAGCGCACCCAGACATCTTCGATGAATATGCGAACAATGTTCAAAACATTGGTTGTTTAAGTTTAAACTGTTTCCGAAATTACAGGTTTTCGAACGCATACTGTCCGAATTTGTTACTTTGTGCAATGGTATGCAAGATTTTATTAAGCATACTATGTATGATCAAATATTCCTCAGTCAGCACAGATCGGCAATAGATGTCTTAATTTCTACGTCTATTTTTTTCTACTCAGATGACCTTAGTTCAGAAAAAGGGCTGGAATTTGTAAAGCAATAATTCAGGTCCTCAGAAGGCAAATAAAGTCGGTGTTCTGTCAGCGTTCTAGGGCAGCGATGTCGTACTCTGTGTTTTGGGCCAGTAGCACGCCGGATTTTCTTGACTGAAGTATATGTGGTTAGCAAACCTCAGTCAGGACAGATCGTTAGTCTCAAACTCCCGATCGATCTTTTCTATCCCAGACATTCTGAGTCCAGTTAGAGAGCCCACATTCTTAAAGCAATAATTAAGACGTTCATTTGCAAAGGAATTTGGGATTTCAGGTTCGCGTTCGCCGACACGTGTAGCTAGATCGTTGCCGAACATGTTTCTTACGATTGCTTGCTCCTTGCAGAAGGACAATCCGAATGGACTTTAAATTCGACGTCGATTGAGGATGTATTAACGGTGCTTTGCCAGCATTGTAGAGGATCGATGTCCTACTCTTTGTTTTAGAAATAGATTATCCTTATTGGCGTGTTAACATTTCTCACCTCAATAGGTTCTGTGCAACCCTGTACCTCCTATCACTGGGGACGCATCTTCGTATTTTGCAACGTTGGAGTGCGTCGTTGTAACAACCGCTACCATCTGATGAATGTGGGTGTGTCGGCCTTGTTACTCAGTTAGCGTAGGCTGTGTTGGGCCTACTGTGCTTGCTAAGCAGATTGCAGACTTCCTTGTTGTCGTCAGACCAACATACTCTGAATTAAGTTATTGGTGGTCGCTTAGCTCATGTTTGCTCGCGGGGTTGGATGCATGGCTTCATCTTGGAGATGGCAAGGCGGCTTTCCACCCAGCAAGTAACGTCGCAAATCGTCTTTTTCACTGGAGCATTCTGATGGTCTCGCCTATGGTCGAGAACGTGGTGTAGCATTAGGTAATTGCGACAGATATGTCACTTTGCCTTAGAATGCAGCTTCTGCGTGAGCGAGTGGCAATATTTATGGTCCAGCTACTTTTCTTTATGAGAGTTTATTTGGGTCATCATGGAGATTGGCAACCATCTGACCTATCGAACGTTTTAAGCAGTCGGCAGGTATAAGCGGTGCATAATTAGTAACATACCTCTTTAATTCGTCACCACTGGCGGTGATTATGATCTTGGACCGTAACAGGCGGTGCAGTCTCGGAATGACAACACAGGACGAAAGATTGGATGTACGGATGCCCTGACGGAACTTACTGAGTTGAGCCAGTGACGCCGGTCCAGACATGTCGGATATTCCTTATGTAATCAGATCTTCACCCTCGTCTCTCTGACATAAATCTGAAATCCTCATGTTTTACCCACTATTCACAGTTTATTCATAATTAAGAGGGTACTCACGGTTCCTCCGGTTGTTTATTTGCATCGACGACCACCAGCGACATCTTACGTATCTTTCCATTTTAATCTTTTCTAAGCCCATATTGCTGCACCAGCATATTTATTATTTCTCTTTTTGGTTTACCAAAATACACGGCTATACTTAGATCTGTAGTGTGCTATTACCCATATGACCCAATTGCCATCATCGTTCGAGAAAAATTATTCAAGAATTATCAAAATCATTAAGAAAGATCACATAGTTTGTAACGTCGTTCTTTCGCTAAATGCTCATCAGAGGTTAGTCTAACGAATTCAAAATGAGTAAATAATTGGGTCTTTCAAACTAAAGTTCGCTGTGCTATTCCAAAACTACTGCGAGTACATCCTTTATGTGAGAACGAAGATTAATTTTGATTGACGAATTCGTAGCATGTCTGCAGACTCGTAACAAAAAGGCAAACATCCGAATCACGTTAATGTCGAACCGCTGTTCTACTTGTCGAAATTGTTGTTAAATTGTTAAAGATATAGTCGAACCACACGTGATCTTTGTGGTTGAGGTCAAAAATGCTTTTGCATAGAACATAACTTATGGCTTAACTTCGTCCTATAAATGTAACACTCTGACTTCAATTTTGACATGTCTAGACCAACTGTAAGGGCAGTTGAACCATCGTCGATTGTTCCGTTGCGCTCCACATGCTCTTAGCGATAATTTTGATTGTCATCGACATTATGGCCTTTCACGGCGTTCTATTTGTTTGCGATTATGCGATTTCCACGACCGGTTGGGGTGTAGAGTTGTTAGCGGTGGGTTCACGTAATGGTCGTGGTGGTCGCTCACTTGCTTGCAGGTGAGACTGCGCCTAGCGTCCACTTGCTGGCACTCAACTCTCACCGGTGGCTCCACGTAGCTGGACTCTGCTCAGCGGCCACACCCCGGGCAACCGTCTCGACCGGCGGGCTAAACCAGGTGAGGGGGCCCTGTGCGCTGTGCCGTGTGCACAGCGTTTGCAGATTCCGCTGGATGGAAGGTCGGATGGAACCTTGCGTCGGCACCGTCGTGACGTGGTTCGTCTCTGCACGCCGCTGGACAGCCGGTGACGGGATGGATCTCCACATCGACATCGCCTTGACGCGCCCACCTACGCCGTCGCAGACCGCGGCTTACGGCGAATTCGAGTCGCTCTCCACTACAACCCGAAGTCGTGGTCCCATAGTGGAGTTCGGCCGTGCCACAACGGCACATGGCAGCCCTATGCAGGGGTGGCACTGCCAGCCCCCACGAGGGGAAGGGCCTAGAAAAGGTGGCCTAAACATTGTTGGGTACCACGCCGTCTCCAGGCTAGCCAGGGCCGCAGACGTCTAATCATGGTCGAAACAATCAAAATCGAAAGAACAACAATACCAATAACAACAACAACAACCATACTTATAGAAGCGAAGAGCCGAGTCCCAGGAAGTAGTCTTAAAGAAGGAGACACGATCGCCGGGACAAGAGCTTTATTAGCCTGACGTTTTGGATTCCTACTCGAATCCATCATCAGAGACAAAAGATCAGAAACGGGTGGTTGTTGCACAAGGGGCTGCGGTATTTATAGGATGCAGCAGCCATGCTACCGCATGCCTATTAACGTTCACGGCTTCCCCCTTCATCCGGGATTGTCACACTTGGGGTGATTATTGCTTGATGGCCGACATTCGAGTCGATAATTGCCGCAATTTCATCACGTGCGTTGGATGTTGGCGTGATGATTGCTCGACCATCTGATGCGTTGACCCAGTTGGGAAGAGTGTTCACCAGTGCGCTCCCCGCGTGGCCAATTACTCCGCCTAGACGAAGTCTCAGCACGCTGTATTGAATGGGAAGATCGTTGCACTTGTTGATGGACTGTGGGCCAGTAAACCATGATTCCAGTAGTTCCCGGCTCACTCGGTTGTCACCTCTTGCGAGAATTTCGGCCTCATCGAATTTAAATGTGTGACCGGGTCTCGTCGAATGAGCCGCAACTCGAGAGCTGGCGTCATTTCTGCGCACCGTTGCCGTGTGTTCGGCCATTCTTGTTCGGAGCTGTCTTCCGGTTTCTCCGACGTAGTTGCTTTGTCCGCAACTGCACCAGATCCGATAAACGACTGCAGACGTTTCTAGCCGCGGCAGTGGGTCTTTCGGTTTCATGATCAGACGCCTGATGCTTGTCTCCGGTCTGTGTGCCACTCCAACCCCAAGTGGTGCGAGAAGGCGGCCGACAGCTTCCGAAACGTTCTTGACATACGGAAGTGCCCGCCAAGACTTGGTGTCCGTGCGGTTAGGCCTTTCGTCCCTTTTGCGTATGCACCGGTCGACGAAGTTAAGCGGGTAGCCATTGGCTTTGAATACCCGTCGGAGGTATTGTAGTTCAGCAATTTTGTCTTCCGGCTCACTGCAGTGCGTTTCGACGCGCCGATAGAGCGTCCTTACACAACTGCGTTTGTGGCTGATTGGGTGGTTACTGTTGAAGTTCAGTACTTGCAACGTATTTGTCGCTTTCCTGAACACTTTGGCTAATAAAGCTCTTGTCCCGGCGATCGTGTCTCCTTCTTCAAAAAAACCATACTCATTCTCCTCATCCTACCTCTTCTTCCTCTTCCTCTGCCTATTCTTAAGCCTATTCTTCTCCTTCGTCACCTTCTTCTCCATCTCCTACCCGTCGCCCCACTCGTTGTCACCAGACTCTCAGGGTGAGCCCGCTCACTCTGGCAGCCTGGAATGTTCGTTCCCTTTTAGACAATCCGAGGAGCAACCGCCCGGAACGGACGACGGCACGAGAACTGGCGCGCTACAAGTTGGACATCGCCGCACTCAGCAAGACCCGATTCTCCGAACAAGGCCAACTGGAGGAGGTGGGTGCCGGCTACACCATCTTTTGGAGCGGTCGACCCACGGCAGAGCGACGGGACGCGGGTGTCGCCTTCGCCATTCGGAACGACATCATCAGCGCCTACGCTCCGACGATGACCAACCCCGACGCCGTCAGAGACAAATTCTACGAGGACCTGCACGCCCTCTTGGCAACTGTGTCGAAGGCGGACAAGTTGATTGTCCTTGGTGACTTCAACGCCCGCGTCGGCACAGACCATACTGCCTGGAGAGGAGTGCTGGGTCCCCACGGTCTCCGCGGCTCAAACGACAATGGTCTGCTGCTTCTCCGCACCTGCGCAGCACACCGCCTCATCCTGACGAACACCTTATTCTCTCTGCCGGAGCGAGAGAAGGCCACCTGGAGGCATCCTCAGTCGCGCCAGTGACACCTGCTGGACTATGTCCTCGTCCGGAGGCGAGATAAGCAGGACGTGCTGGTGACGAAGGCGATCGCAGGTGCTGACGGGTGGACGGACCATCGCCTCGTCATCTCGAAGATGCGTCTTCGCCTACAGCCTCGCAGGAGACCTCAAGGTAAGCGACCCCAAGGTAAGCTGAATTTTGCCTTGTTGTCTTTGCCCGCTCACCATCTTCATTTCAGCAATGAGCTAGCTCAAAGGCTAGACAACCTTCTTACCGCTGCCGCCGACGACGCCGCCGCTGCCGAGAACGCCTCCGTGGAGAACCGCTGGTGTCAACTGCGTGACACGGTCTAGTCGACGGCGCTCGCCGTCCTCGGTCGTGCTCCCCGCCAACACCAGGACTGGTTCGACGACAACGACGCCGTCATCAGAAATCTGCTTTCTAAGAAGAACCGCCTACACAAAGCCCACTTAGGTCACTCCATTGATGCCACCAAAGCTGCCTTCTACCGCAGTCGCCGCCAACTTCAACAACGAATGCGCGAGATGCAGGACGCCTGGACTGCTCGCAAAGCTGAGGAGATCCAATGATACGCGGACCGCAACGAATGGGGGAACTTCTTCTCCGCGATCAAAGCTGTCTACGGTCCGCCGACAAAGGGCACTGCTCCTCTCCTCAGCGCCAATGGCAGCACTCTCCTGACTGAGAAGACGCAAATCCTGCAGCGATGGGCCGAGCATTTCCGAGGCGTCCTCAACCGCCCTTCCGTCATCTCCGACGCCGCCATCGCCCGCTTGCCACAAGTGGAGGTCAGCGCGGACCTCGACCTTCTGCCATCTCTCCAAGAAACCATCAGGGCCGTGCAGCAGCTCTCTAGCGGGAAAGCACCCGGATCGGACGCAATCCCTGCTGAGGTCTACAAGCACGGAGGTCGCCAACTGATGGATCACCTGACTGCGCTCTTCCAAGAGATGTGGCGTCAGGGTGAAGTCCCGCAAGATTTCAAAGACGCAACCATCGTGCATCTCTACAAGCGCAAAGGGAATCGTCAAGTCTGCGACAATCACCGCTTCAACTCCCTGCTGAACATCGACGGGAAGGTCTTCGCCCGTATCCTTCTCGACCGCCTCAATAACCATCTGTAACAGTGCCTTCAGCCAGAAAGCCAATGCGGCTTCCGTCGTCAGCGTGGGACCACGGATGTGATCTTCGCCACCCGTCAACTTCAGGAGAAGTGTCAGGAGATGCGGATCCACCTGTACTCTACCTTCGTGGACCTGACGAAAGCCTTCGACTCGGTGAATCGTGAAGGACTGTGGAAAATCATGCAGAAATTCGGCTGTCCGGAGCGATTCACTCAGATGGTGCGCCAGCTGCACGACGGTATGACGGCGCGAGTCACGGACAACGGAGCTGTCTCAGAAGCATTCGCAGTGAACAAAGAAGTGAAGCAGGGCTGCGTACTGGCGCCTACCCTCTTCAGTCTTATGTTCTCTGCCATGCTGATGGACGCCTACCGTGATGAACGCCACGGGAACAGGATTGCCTACAGGACGGACGGTCATCTCCTGAATCAACTTCGGATGCACTTCCAATCGCGCGTATCCACAACCACCGTTCACGAACTCCTCTTCGCCGACGACTGCGCCCTAAACACCACCTCGGAAGAGGAGATGCAACGGAGCATGGACCTGTTCTCCGCCGCCTGCGAGAACTTCGTTCTGGTCATTAACACGCAGAAGACGGTGGTGATGCACCAACCGCCACCCAAATCAGCCACAGCCCCCAACGCGCCGCCGCAAATCAGCGTGAACGGAACCCAACTGCAGGTGGTGGAGAACATCCCGTACCTGGGCAGTACTCTCTCCCGCCACACCAAGATCGACGACGAAGTCGCCAACAGGAGCTCGAAAGCCAGTCGGGCCTTCGGTCGCCTCCAAAGCACAGTTTGGAATCGCCACGGTCTTCAGCTGAGCACGAAGCTGAAGATGTACAAGGCCGTCATCCTGCCGACACTACTGTATGGAGCGGAGACTTGGACGGTGTACGCAAAGCAGGCACGTCGTCTGAACCACTTCCACCTCAGTTGTCTTCGTCGCATCCTGAGGCTAAAGTAGCAGGATCGAATCACGACACTGATGTGCTGGAACGGAAGGGAATCCTCAGCATCTACGCCATACTGAGGCAAATTCAGCTGCGCTGGAGCGGCCACCTGGTGCGCATGGTCGACGAGCGACTACCTAAACGACTCTTCTACGGAGACGTCGCGACGGGTTCTCGCCGTCAAGGAGGCCAGATTCGTCGTTAAAAGGATACCCTGAAGTCCTCCCTGAAATGCCTGCAAATCAACCCCACCAACTGGGAGGAGCTCGCACTCGATCGACCGACCTGGAGGAGGACAGTGAAGACAGGCGCTGCGATATACAAAGCCAACCGCATCGCTGCCGCCAAAGCGGAACGTGAAGCCCGCAAATCACAACTTCACCCAGTAGGCAACACCGGCGCACAACCGCTTCCAACGTGTCCTCGATGTCAACGGACATTCCGGGCTCGAATCGGACTTGTTGGACATCTTCGGATTAACTGCGCCTCTCGAACGGCACCAACCATCGTCCCCCCGCCTGCCTCTTCCTCCTGCTCTCCGCCGCCAACTAACCCTCACAATTCTTCTGACCCACCACTTCCATCATCCTCCTCCTCCTCCTCGCCCACTGCTCCAACGGTGGCCGCTCAGGCGACTGTCTCGCGCACAGCAACCGACACTACCACCACCTCCCCCGACTCCAGGGATGAGGATCATGACTACACTTGCACTCACTGCGACCGTACCTTCACCTCACACATCGGCCTGGTCGGTCACTTGCGAATCCATCGCACAGAGACTGGCGAACCAGTGCGTGAAGCA